TTCAATTATCAGTGTATAATCTTGTTTGTTGAGAATACCATAATCTTAAGTCCTCAGATAATTACAACTATGGATTCATAGATATATATATGTATATATATATATTATATTATATATATATATATATATATATATATATATATATATATATATATATATATATATATATTGTATAAATTCCTTTAATCTTAGGAGGAGCATATGGTCGCATCTAATTTTTTCCATTCAGATAGGTTATTCTTAAGCTTTTCTGCATACGTAACAGTTCTGTATCCGTTTGTGTTCTTAAGGATTGCGCATATCTGCACCTTCTTTGGCAACCCAAGGGGTTCTACTTGATCGCCACTCTTGTAGTGTCACTGGTTGGTTTGCGCAGAATAAGATTTATCTAGTTCCATTTACGTTCAATTATTTCAAACTTGATTGGTGTTTCGTTAGTGATGGACCATTGCCTTTTATTCGATAGTGTGTTTGGCCAGAACGCTTTAAACATTTTCTGTAAGGACTGGTTAATAAAAACTTGTAACGCTTTGATATCATTTGACGTAGCGTTCTATGATTGACATTCATATGAGAGAGTGGGTTCATTATTTGAGTTAAATATTTGAATTTTAGTTTGATGTGATATCTGGGGTGTTCTCCACACTTTATTTACGTCTGTTTTGCCTTCTTAATTAAATTTTTGATGTAAAATTGAAATTCTTATGGACTTATACCAGGGCTGTTCAGACTGGATAAGATTGCTGGCCAATATAAATCATTAAATAGGTTCGAGGGGCGCAGAAATAAATAGATACGTTCATGTATTGCCATACGAAAAATATTTTATTTTTAATATAATGACTTACGGTACTGGATACAAGGTTTTTGAACCAGTTGTACAAAGAAATATATACTAAAGTCTTTACTAACTAAGTAAATTAACGTGAAGTGTACGAAATTATTTAAAAATTTTTAATTCTTTTATTGGGGATACCACAAAACCAAAATAATGTGATTTTACTAAAATATAACAAAAAAAAATTTGCTTATTGTGGTAGATTAGAAACATGTCACGGCCGCACAAATATTAGTTGTGGGCCGCAAGAGGCGCGTGGGCCGTACATTAGACAGCCCTGAGTTAGAGTATCAAAGTGGTTAAAAGCCCTATGCAGTTTTCAGAATAGCATAATAAGATATTAGGTAAATTGTACGATCACTATAATAATTAACTGAGTAACTATTTGCGAACTATTTTGTTAATAAAATCTAATATTTTCTGTACCATTTTCTATATCTTTTTATATTAAAAATATATAATTAAATGAGTGATTATTTTTGCCCTAGTAGGTTAATATCAATTTAACTACAATTCTAATTTCAGTAGTTTCTTTATAAAGACATTCTATCGATTCCATGCGTGTTACATTATTTAGCGTGATTTTACACATGATTAGAGTACGCATTCACATGCAAATGTTAGCCTTTATCCGCTATGCTAATTTCATTTGCGGTTGAGGTCAATATCAATCGACACCTCAATCATGGCTTAATACAAAAACAAGTATAATTTGTTTTTCCGAACCAAGTCAAATTCAATTTAATTAACACAAACGTTTTCATTACAATTTTTTGTTAATAAAAAATATAAACATTTAAAACATTTAATATAAACATTTTAGAAAAAAAATTGTTTTTAGATTCATGTAAACTGGACCGACGCGTCGGTCTTAAGTGTGCAGTATTTGGGTCTGTCAGGCCTTTTGCTTAAGTATTTTTCTGGTAAATGTGTGCTTTTAGTGGTTTTAGTTATTCGCAGTTTATGACAAGAATTAAAACAGAAAGTGAAAATTTATTTCATGTTGTAAAAACTGCTACGATTACAGAATTTTAATTCTCTTCCAATTGTAGGTGGCGTGTTTGTGTCCGAAACCGCAAAAGTAAAAGTTGCTGACAATGCCGAAAAGCAGAACTTTCTTTACTTATTTATGATTTGACTTAATGTGTAAAAAATTATCATATCTTTATGCTAATTGAAATTTCTAAAATTGTTTATTTTGATTTAAAATCCAAATGCAGTATACGAATACTGCCAAAAGTTTAACCAATGAATGCTTTGCAAAAGATACGAGTATAAAAATTCAAATAAAGAATTTACTTTTTTACTTATACGACACCTAAAAGATAAAGTATATAATAAAAATTATATATATAAATAAGCTATATAATGTGAGCAAGGCAGCGTAGTTACCTATGTGTACACTTCAAATCTACGCTCATAAAACTGTGCCAAACCTTATTCCATAAATGTAGAGAAACATATTTACTTATATATTAGGAAAATTAAGCTGAGATAATTTTAATTTGGCAATGAAGGACCACTAAATTTATTTATACATTTCAAGTCTATTGCTCATAGTACTGTGCCTAGTACTAGTACTAGTTTCATGATAAAATTTACCAAGCTTATAGGTTTTTATGCTTATACTCGGTCAGGAGATTCAAGAGTTTGAGCACTTTCTGGATCAAGTATGTGTACATATGGAGCAAGCTGCATACTTAACTCTATTTCAGGTCATGGCATTGTTTCTATTTTTTGAGATGTGCAGCTGTGATAGGTGACAGTTTACAGGAACAGCATAGATTATATAGATACATTTATAACCACTGAGACAGTCGGAGATATCTCTAAATTAATATATACCAAAAAGGTTTACATAAAAACTTGTCGAATTTTTTGTGTTAGAAATATATAATTTCAATTGTGTTTATAACATAAATTGCATCTTAAGAGATTTTTTTACATTTCACAGAAGTACAAGATTATATCTTAAAAATTTCACAAAGATAATCTTGCATATTTTTACAAACTTAAGCTAAAAATGAACATTAAGTTTCAATCAAATAAATCAATTTTGTCAAAAGCTGAGTATAGCTGAGCATAATTAATTAATTGTAAAGATATCTTAAAAGATAATTAAAAGGTAATTTTTCATTTATCTACTATCATATCTGAGTATAGATGACACAGTGCACTACACTAATAATAAAAATTATTTAATCAATAGCACCAGAGCAGCAGTTAAATAGAGAAATCCTTAACAGCAGTTACTAAATCAATTAAGCTAGAAATTTACTCCATATAAGTTATTCTTATTGAAGGATATGTTTATATATAAATGATATATAATATAATTGAATGTCAATGTGAAAATATGTATACTCAACTTAGTAGAAACGTATTCGAGGATATTTGTATAAATTAGACACCAAAATGTCCACTAACATTTGAAAAAAAAAAGCGAAATAGCCAAAGTGTCAGCTGATAGCATTAAAAGTTAGAAAGAAAGATATTAAAATTGTAGAAATATGGAAAAAATAAAAATAAATTATTAATTTTCTATATTTTGCCTAAGAAAATATATCTCTTATGTTAAAACTATATAATTTTCAAATAAAAATTAAATTAAGTAAATTTATTGTAATTTATATTCTATATTATAAATTCTGTATTTATATATTGTAGTCTGACAAATATGATAACTATTAATTGTGACAGAGTAAAAATTATGCATCTATAGAATTTTGGAGACAAAACTCACGTAGAACTCGATAATTGAATTAAAGAACTTTATGATAGATACTCGTTTTCAACAATGGTATGTATTTTGAGATAATACAAAGGCTACTTCGAAGCACTGTCACTTCATAAGAAATAACTCTCTTTCTCTTCTTCTAATTATCAGGAGAGTTTGGTAAAACATCAGTAAAGAAGTGATAATTTTATCAATTCATGTCATTCTAGATAAATGTTAAGAAACAAATTTTTTGTTTATTATATAGAAAATCTGTTATCATGGCTTCATAATGATTTTCATTAATGATGTGCTTTAGCATTTTTAAATATGTCTATTTCATCCATAACATCTTTATCCCAAAATCTTACCAAAACACAACTTCACTTTAGAATTTTTATTGTATTAAACTGGGATATGTGGAATTTTTAATCTTATATATTAATAGCTAAGTATTGACTATAGCAATAACAGTCTTAAACGCTATTCTATTCTTAATAATGTGTAATGAGTGAAACAAAATATTCTTGGAGTAATATAGATTCGGTTAAATGTATTATTGGATTTCAAAAAAGATAATAATATTAACGTGGTTCGATGGTTGGGTTGAAAAAGACACTGTATATACTTTGAATAAAACTGGAACAGGGTCGGAATAGAACGTTTAATGATGATTTTAATAGTTTTCAATAACTTTTTACTTTTTTATATAAAGCTTATTCTTGTTATAGAGTATAGTGAGTATTACATATATTAAGTTCTTTAAATACAAAAAGAAAACAGCATAGCTCTTAGTTTTGTATAATTTTATTATTTATTATTTAATAATAATGATTTTAAGCATAACATAATTAGTAGCTGTAATTCGTATATAGTATATTTACACTTAAATTGTAAAATGAATTATTTAATTTGTTATAAAATCTAGTTTCAATCGTTTATAGCATCGCACTTAAAGAAATTAATTAATTAGTGTTTTCATCTATTTTTATAATAAACCGATATTCCTAAGCCCGATATAGCATTCTCGTATATAAACATTTGGAGAAATGCCTTAGTAGAAATACAAACTAAACTTAAAATTGCTGTAGATCACACTCAATGCTCTTAAAATTGTATAAGGTAATTTTTTTCTTCTCATATTCGCATATTATATATATTCGTGTATATGAATTATAAATGTAAAATGTCTTTGATATATAATTATTGCATTTATAAGTTAAAAAATTATTGAAAATTGCATTTTACTAAAACTATGGATGGTCAACCTTAGCTCTTAGCCCGCATACGAAATTCCCCGCCACGTGACAAGCTGCTGCTGCTGCCAACTTTGCATTGCACCAACAATGATCATTCATTATCAGATATCTGAGCAGCAGCTACATCACCAACAAATACTTTACACATGACCATCTTGACTCCGGCGAGGAAGTCCGTTAGATAATATCATGTAGGGCGTGGCGGTGCTGCTGCTTTCCGAACTGTAGGTGGTGGTGGCGGTGCGCTGCGCATGCGTGGCACTGGTTTCAAATCGAGTGGTTTCGGTATTGGCGGCTTCTGTTGTTGTTGTTGCTGAGGTTGCCATTGCGACTGTATTGCTGTTGCATAAAATGGCATATTTAAATTTGCCTTGTTTGCCTGTGTTTGTGTATCTGCGGAATTTAGTTGAGTTGTGAAAGTTGGTGAAATGGGACGATTTCTGTCCATATTTGCAGATTTACTGGAATTTGATTTCTTTAATTTTGGTTGCGTTGTTATGATTTTTGGTATCGCACCAGCACTACGTTGAGCGGCTAGCATTTCATCATCACCTTCCGAAGAGGCTGAGTCATATGATGCGGGCGACGGAGAATGTGAGAACGAATCTTCTTGATCTTGTTCTTGTATTATAGTGCGAAATTCCTGTATGGAATCGTTAAGCGCCCATAGTTGAGACAGTAAGGAGAGATCCAATTGACGTAAGCCATACTGAAAAAATAGTAAAAAAATTATTACTAATATTGAAATTAATTTAAAATAAAAATTAAAAAAACTGATGCCGCAATGTTCATAATAATTGTGCTGAGTATCTAAAAATTATGAGAATTAAATGAAATCTAAGTAGCGAAGTTGGCATTTGAAATCATTACCACAATAACATTTGTAAGATGATATTACATACGAAGGGTGTGGGAAATTTTTTAAAATTGTGGTATACATAATTTAAGTTGATTGTAAGATATTCGTGCATGGGAGTATCGGCTTTGAAGCCGATATTAAATTATTTAAAAATATTATTTTATTATGAAATATGTATATTTAGATATATAAAATAGATATATAGATATATAAAATATATCTATATATATTTAAAAATTATTGTAATCTATACAATATCTGCATCAATTGATCAAAAGGTTTTAAGCAGACTTTTTATGAAAAATTTAAATATATTTCTCTTTAGTCTAATGAAAACGTTTACTTTAAACCGCTACTGGAATGAGTTTAACAAATTATCTCAGTTAACCGCTTGTTGACTTTAATATCGTGGCGTGTCGGATTACCTTGCGGCAGAGCTTCCACATATCGCAGTCGATCGTTGCGAGGAAAATCTCAAAAGACAACTCGAGATATTTGTGGGGCGATATTAAATGACAAATGAGATGTTTCCTTATCACTTTGTTTTAATTCAAGTAACTTTCATTCAAACCACAATTTAATGCAGGTCAAGTAAAAAGATTTTCACATTTTGTGGAATACTAATAATAAGTTTTAGTTTTATTTGACGAAGAAACTCATAAGATACAGAAAACTTATACTAAATTTAAAAAAAGTCGTTTAACAACTAATAAATCATATAAGTTAAAATGCAATAAGGAAAATTAGAAAGGGAATTGCTTGTCTAAAGTCTAATCATGTTCCCGACCTTTGAATTGGAACTTTTAGGCTTCTTTTATACAAAAAAAAACTCAAATGAAAATAATATCTTGTGTCTTCTAAAATTAAACTCCAATATATAAATAGGCAAAAATATAAATAAATAATAGGCAAATAAATATATTTTTTTGTGCTGACAGACTAGTAACTGTGTTCTTAAATTATAAAAAAATTAATCATTTAAATTAATATAATTTATGTGTATTTATTTCTGTTTTTTTTGAAAAGGTTTATGTGAATAAAATAAAAAATTGTAAATTAGTGCCAATTTTTATTTTAATATAGTAATATAGACCTCTATATAAATATCGAAGCTACTCTAGATTAAACAAATAATTTATACAAACAATTATACTTAAATAATTTGTTCAATTTATTTCAATAGTATAGTATATATTAATGTTGTATTTATTTAGTAAAGTCATATATGTTGAAATTTAAATATTAATTAAAGATACTATTATATATATTAGATATATAAATATCGAAGCTACTCTAGATTAAACAAATAATTTATACAAACAATTATACTTAAATAATTTGTTCAATTTATTTCAATAGTATAGTATATATTAATGTTGTATTTATTTAGTAAAGTCATATATGTTGAAATTTAAATATTAATTAAAGATACTATTATATATATTAGATATATAAATATCGAAGCTACTCTAGATTAAACAAATAATTTATACAAACAATTATACTTAAATAATTTGTTCAATTTATTTCAATAGTATAGTATATATTAATGTTGTATTTATTTAGTAAAGTCATATATGTTGAAATTCAAATATTAATTAAAGATACCATTATATATATTAGATATATAAATATCGAAGCTACTCTAAATAAAACAAATAATTTATACAAACAATTATACTTAAATAATTTGTTCAATTTATTTCAATAGTATAGTATATATTAATGTTGTATTTATTTAGTAAAGTCATATATGTTGAAATTTAAATATTAATTAAAGATACTATTATATATATTAGATATATAAATATCGAAGCTACTCTAGATTAAACAAATAATTTATACAAACAATTATACTTAAATAATTTGTTCAATTTATTTCAATAGTATAGTATATATTAATGTTGTATTTATTTAGTAAAGTCATATATGTTGAAATTTAAATATTAATTAAAGATACTATTATATATATTAGATATATAAATATCGAAGCTACTCTAAATAAAACAAATAATTTATACAAACAATTATACTTAAATAATTTGTTCAATTTATTTCAATAGTATAGTATATAATAATGTTGTATTTATTTAGTAAAGTCATATTTGTTGAAATTTAAATATTAATTAAAGATACTATTATATATATTAGATATATAAATATCGAAGCTACTCTAAATAAAACAAATAATTTATACAAACAATTATACTTAAATAATTTGTTCAATTTATTTCAATAGTATAGTATATAATAATGTTGTATTTATTTAGTAAAGTCATATTTGTTGAAATTTAAATATTAATTAAAGATACAATTATATATATTAGAGTATTAATGTTTATACTAATTTCACGGTCAGTTTCCTACATAAGATCTAATTACTTGAGTATCTACTGACAGTATAAAAATAAACAAATAAATATAAAACAATTATGATAAATAGAAAAATACGTATTAATTATTTTCGATTTTGTTTTATAGTCACTGTAGTCCATGTTTAATTTTGGGTTTAATAGGGCAAACCATAGCCAAATGAAAGCCATTAAATGTTGCAATGTTAAAAAAGTAATTATAACTTAAACTTAAATGGTATACGCTGTTAATACTAAATTAGCATTTCGAGACCAAAGAAGCAACGAAACACTTATGAGCTAATTTTTTACCGTGACAGTCATAGGCCAGAAATAAAGGGCGCAAATTCTATTAAAAACTTTGCGAAATTCGTTGATGGAATCAATTTGAACCTAAAGCTGAACTGTAACGCTTCGTTGGTCACAACCGTTCGTTACGAGTGTATCGTTTTGCGTTTGCTTAGTTGCGACTTGGGAAGGTTAGTGGAGCTATGACTCCAATAAACATAAAATGTGAGTCTTGAGGAAAGTAATGGACTTTGCGAAATCAGTTTAAGAAACTTAGCAATAAAACTGTAACTGGTAATTAACTATAATAATAAGATAACTGAAATGTGAGATAACTGAGTTAAGATTATGTTTGAGATACGGGTATCTTACAAACACAACAGTGGGAAAAACAATATTTCATTTCATATTTTTTAATAATCAAAAGGCATTAAGGAAACGGCATTTGGAAAAATATCTATTACTAATGACTCAACAAAACAAAAATGTAAAATTTAATATTTATGTTACAATATAACCCAATAAAAAATTCTAAATTAAATTAGAACTCATTTACTACTTTTATTATATTCACAAAATCATCAATGAAATCGTCGCTACAAGTCTTAAGGCTAAATAATCACAGCTAAACCTTCTTATAATTAATCATTTTGATGGATTAATTAGTTAATAATAATTATTTTTTATTTCGCAGATAGTTAACCTTAGGAAATTTGAAGGAGCGTATAATGAAATGTGTAGAAAAAGAATTATTATAAGTATTTAATTAATTATAATTTTTTTTCAAATTTTGTCATTAAATATATTGTATTAATTTGTGTTAAACACATAATTAATTGAAAGTTAAACACTTTTAAATATCACACTAAACATTAGTCATTTGTTGAGACTTAAGTATATACATACGTGTAGCAATGAATAAATTTTTGCATCAGATATGAAAGGAGGAAATATTTATTATTATTTATACAAACTAATAATGGGTTGGGGGACTACTAGTACAAAAGACCCGCCATGATCGTTGGGAGTCAGTACATTTCTAAATTCTATAAGGATATAAGGATGTTTTTGATATTAGCTGTATTTCAGCAAACGATTATCTGATGAAGTAACACCAAAAGCAACAACGTTGAGATGAATTAGCAATTGATCTATGATCTGTTCAATTACTGTTATTTGTGATCTATAGCACTTGAGCAAAGAATATCAAAGATTATAAACTTGAGAAATATTGTTTACTGTAACTCAACAAACAATTAGTTATTTGTTAAAGAATTAAAATTCGTCAGGTATCTGTTATGTCCCAGATATGTCAGAAAATCTTGCCTATTTAGAACAGTTATAATGATTGACCACTTCTGTAGTAGTAGTGATAGTATTGATATTGTCTACAAATTATTTGATGAGAATATGAATAATGTACGTGACTTATGAACCGGAACGCGATTATATATCTTGAGAAAACATTTTTTGATTTTAAAATTTTCTTTAAGTGCAATAAATATTTTCATTATAAAAAGTCAGACTTTATTAAAGATTTAAGTGGACTTTTATCAAATATTAATTGAGAAGAGAGAAAGTACTCACGAGAAGCAAATCCACGCGGTAATTCAAAGTGTATTATTTTTTTATTCATAAACTAAATACTAGTATATCAATAACTATAGAGATCTTTTGCAATATTAAAGTTTCGATAATTTATCCAACAAATGTTATGTCAATATTGAAAGAAATAGTAGCAATAATATCCCCAAATGATTTTAGAAAATATCCAACAATATACATTCTAGCTTTCATTAGAAAGGCTGAGTTTTTTCTGTACGGTTAGCGTTCGTTGAGAGAACTTATGTTATTCATGAAAGATAACCTACTTTAGCAGTAATCCTAGTAATATACTAGGATTACTTCTATTTTAATTTTATTGAAAATTGTTCTAATATACTAGGATTATTTCTATATTAATTTTACTGAAATTTTAACCAACACCCAATGCTCTACTACAGGGTGTTTTTTTAGCACTAGCGCCAACTATCGATATCGATAACTATGATATTTCTGTTCAGTAAGATTTAGCAATTCGTCATGAATTATTTAATGCTAGATCGACGTTTCAAAATTGTGGTAATTTACTTTGAATGAATTATGTTTAGTGAGAAATCTCATTTCTGGTGAAATGGCTACCTCAATAAGCGTATATGGAGCGAAGATAATTCTCAAGCCCTTAACGAGTCACTATTACATCCATTAAAATTGACTGTTTGGTGCGGTTTACACACTGGCATCGGTCATTATATTTTTCGAAATAAAGAAAAAGCTGCCGTTACGGTTAATGGCGAGCGCTATAGAGCCATACTAACTGAATTTTGATTTCAATAATTATCGACGACATTTGGTTTCAATAAGACGGCGCAGCTTGCGCGCTTAAAATTAGATTTATTGCCAAATCAATTTGGTAACAAA